TTCTTCTTGTCAGGTTTTAGTATAATTTTCTTAGATATTTTTGAACTCTGGGTACTTTCAGAATTTATACTTTGTCTTTGATGTTCCATTATAATGTAACGAAGTACAGATTTATTTTTATTTATCCCACTAGGTGTTATTTAGGCTTTTAAATCACTTGCCCTTTAACTCAGTCATTTTATTTCTACAAATCTATGTAAAAAAGTGTAACAGGTAAACAAAATGACAATGTACAAGGCAGCTCACCATAGTACTCTTTATACACTATTAGCTGAAATAAAAACTCTAGCTTTCCTAATTTACTGTAGGGAGCAATTTTCCCTGTTTCTATACCCCAGCTGGCTATAAATAAGATCAGTATTAATTATACCATTTTATAGTAAACATGGACCTCTTCTGGAGGCTGAGGCAGTGGGATCACAAGTTAAAGGTCAGCCTGAGAAATTCAGCAAAGCCCTCTCTACAAAAATCAAATCAAATCAAACAACAAAACACCACCACCACCACCAACAACAACAAAAATCAGGTACTTACCTTAACCATATGGTACTTGTTCTGATAAGGTTATGCCTGGTAGCTTCAACTACCATATTTATAAAGTTGTAAGGCGGCATGAGAGAAACTGAAAAGTGGCTATTTGGGCTCCTACACAACAAAAGACAGCTACATTAAAGCATTTAAAGAGGAGCTACAACCAGCTGATGTTTTTAAAGAGAAATTTCATAACACAGCTGCCTGGACACTGGGCTAAGTGAGCTTGTGGCATCCCAATCCTGCCTGGCTTCTGGAATGCCCATTCTGCCAGATCTAAATGTCCACATTTGGGTTCTTATGAAAACCAGGGCTTTTTTTTGTTTTGCTTTTAGAAAAGGCGTATATTTATTTTGGCACTGGTTTAGCATATTTTTCCTCTGACACTAGCATCATTAAATTAGGCCACTTATTCAGAGAATAAACTTTGTCAGTACTTGGTCTCATTAGGTCATTGTCACATTTCATTAGTTTATGGAGCTTATAGAAAATTCACAGAAGTTTTTGCAGCTGAATAAAATAGTAAAAGATGTCTTCTGGTCTCTAGAGCTCAGTGCAGCATTTGTTACTACTGTGATGGTATGAAGATGGTAGCATGAACCTCTTTCTATGTAATAGGTACTGCACAAAGCACTTAATATGTTTTCACCTAATTTTTATATCAACACTATAAATTTCAGTTTTATAATTATCCTGCTTTTCTAAGACCAAACAAATTAAATACAGTAACTTGTTTGCAGTCCCACAATTAATAGATAGGAAAGTTAAAAATGGAAGTAATTAAAGAAACTAAGTATAATGTACTTTATGTAACCCTCCATGGCCACACTTTGGGGAAGTAACACCAAATACTGCCCTACCAGTGGTTTGCAGACTGAGGAGGTCAGGGCAGCACTTGGCAATACTCAACCTTCACAGGGATCTCTGAATTAGTTTACAAACCTCAAAGTGACTCAGATCCTGTTATACCTCAAAACTGTTAATCACACCAGTTATAATCTACATGCCAGCTTTTCTCCAGACATTCAAAACATGCTTTATTCCAAGAGTACCCCACATCACTTTGAACGGACATAAGGTCTGTGAATTCAGAAAAAAAATCACTCTAATTTTGTTCATTGTGGCTCTTTTTGATTCTCTCTCATCTTTAAGATGTTTATACAGCGCTTTAAATTCTAGTTACCCTTTCCCTTGCAAGTCAGTGTGTCACCTACACTGTGCCTAGGAGCAAGTATTTCATGTTCAAAATAATTTTTTAAATGGTACCACACTTATTTCTGACCTCTCATGAGAGGAAGTAATAATCTGCCTTCTTATGTAAGTTCCAACTCTTGGCCCTAATCTTTCTTTCAGTATCTCTATGGGATATGCGAAATCTTTATTTAACAGAACAGCTTTTAAAATATTTGAATCTGAATCATCATATGGATCCTGACACATCTAAAAGCATAGGAAGAAAGTGGTATAGTGCAGTGACTTTTCCAGGAAATCTAATCCAGCTAAGTTTACAACCCTTTAACTTACCGAGAGGTCTCTACCCTACCTTTTCTCTGCTCTGATTCTAGTCTGACTTAACAGGATGGCAGCAACACATGTTTCCATCCTTTCAGTGACCTTGGATACAACACAGAGAACTCTCACAGAACAGTATTACTTAAGCACTAGGCAGTAACAAACAGGAAATCTGTCAGTAAGGACAAGGTTATCATTTCTCCTGTCCCAGTACAGGCAGAAAATGGTAGGTGACCAGCATATTGGTGAAAACAGTAAGAGATATGGAGTCTGCTGTAACTCCTGGTTCTAAAAAGTTTTTTCCATTTACTTTATAGAATTATGGTAAGAAAAACGTATTCAAATATATTAAACAGTGAATGTGAATGTATAATTTTTGTCAAAATTTGAAATAATTGTGTTTGAGTTCAAATATAATTTTAACTGTGGTAAAGTTTTGCATAGTTTTGAAAATGGTTTTATTCCTCGAAGATGTCCAATGTTCAAAATTGACAGTCCCATAATTATCTAGTCATATAACTATTCCCAGTTGCGAAGCCTTTGTCTAGGAGAATATGAGGCCACACGAAGAAATGAGTGCCTGCTGTCTCTTTCTTTCCTCTATTTTCTTTTCTGCCTGCTCTAATTGCTTTCTATTCCTCTTTTCCCCCCTCATTATTCCATTCTAATACAGTTTTTCACTGACCTGTAACTGATAATCCCTTTGCCTCCAGGGCCCCAAACATGCTAACTGCTCATCTCAGCGCTCCAGCACTGGAAAAGCAAATTGGAAGAGGTAGATGGATGGCGATGCTTTACCAAGCGCAGAGACCAGAGAGGCCAAAAGCAAGCCCTGTACCCAGGCTGCTGCAAAAAGATGGGGATCTCTACATGCCGCATGGCCCATGTCTGGTCAGCAGCTTCACTCTTCTTTCTAAAGCCCTGGTACTTCAGTGTTCCCTAGCAACAGAGGTAAAGGATCAATTTAGAAAAGTGCTTTCCAGAGCATTCTATCTAGCGACTGACCAAGCCATTTTAGTTATGTAACCAAGCAACTGAAATTCAAGGAGATTTATCACTGACTGTCCTCAGCACAAAACTGAAGGAGCACCACTTGATACGTGTGCTACTAATGTGTGGGATGATGACTGATTCTACCTCTACTGCATAAACAGGGATTGGTTTCAGGAAGAATTAGTAGTCTCCACATGTGACTGTGCACCCACAGTGTTGCTAGGGAAACTGATAATTATGTGCCAAAATGGAGGGTGCAGAGCAGAAAAAAGGTTCAAAAGAAATGTAAGGTTTTGCTCCACATCAGCATGTTAATAGTACAGTGTGTTGATCTTCTGTAGTCATATAATTTAATAAATACCATTAATTATATATTTGATAAAATACAGGTTTTTAAATGGAAAGAAGTGAATAATAATGAAAAGCTAGTGGTTACTGGTAATACTTTGTGTATCCCAGAGCAAGAACATGTATTTATAATAAACTATGATTAACTTTAAAGGTAATATATTCAAAAAGGTGAGAAAAAATCCACACTGCTTTGATTTCTGGTGGTTTTCTTTAGATATCAATCGTATAGTGTTCCAGTTATAAAAATTGTAATTCCATTAGCTCTAGTAATAAAATTACTTTTTGGGGGCTTCACAGACCAAGTAAAATAGCCTCAATATACCCCTGGTGGGGTGGAAAAGAAATAATTATCAGTGTTTTTATATTATACATAGTAAAATCAACTCTGAGAGGCCAAACGATCTTCCTGAAGTCGAATAGCTCCTTGCTTAGTGATAATGCTGATACCAAATCATCCGATTTCAGGGACCTGAGCGGCATTATTTATATCCTGTTTAGGAAAAATCAATCAGAAAGACATAAGTCTATCTAGTAAATGCATTCAAATCTCTAGACAGCACTTTAGTTTTAAATGAATATTTCCAATACTTTTCATTTTTAATGGCTAAGAAGTTAGTTCTCAAAGTTAATGATAGGATATGAGCACTTGTTTATCAAGAAAATCTCACAGGAAACATTTTAATATGAGAAAGAGCCTCAAAAAATTAAACTGCTCATTATTAGGGTTTCACTACATGTCAAATTGCTTCCTGTGAATTGTGGGCCCAATCCTAACAACCCTGCTGCACATTACTATTTTATTTTCACTTTCCAAGGACTGCTATATGTGTGTGCATGTGCATGTATGTGTGTTTAAAAGGATGAAACCAAAAGTTTTCTATTCTCCTGTATATTTATCTTTAAAAGTTCTTACACATTTTCTAAGTTATAGGAAGTACTGTAGATATTAAACCATTCATACACACAGTCTTTATATGGAGTGTGAGTGTAAGCAATTTGTTTACAGATGTTGGAACTAGTCCAGGGTTATGGTATTATTTGGTCCAAATAAGAAGGAAAGACACGAGATGTACACATGGAACACCAAGGTGAATACAACCACATATATTTGTGTATGTGTGCGCAGTACTGGGATTGGACCTAGGGCCTTGGATGTGCTAGGCAAGTGCTCTACCACTGAGCTATATCTTCAGTCCTCCAAACTACTTAACTGAATAAATTACCAGTGGTAGAAACAGGCAGTCTGTCTTCTGAAGTTACGAAAAAGATCTTTATTTTAAGGACTGAAAATTCTAAACCCCACTCTTTAATATGTAAGTTGTGGAGCTCATCCTAAATGGGATGGTCTATTATTTTTAAAGCAGCATCTGTATATCAATTTTATGACAGCTTAAAAATAGTATTTTATTGTCTTTAGTTGATATTTTGTATGCTATTTAAAGGATTTATATATGATGAGACAGAGCTAAAATGGTAGACTCCTAATTTTATGACTTATTTCCTACAGTAGGAAAGCATTTTCAACCTGTGAATTTTTAAATTAGAAAACAGAAGATTGAAAGTCTAAATTATCCAGTAATTAAAAGTGATTTTCTTGGTTAAGTTAAACACACCTTGACTTAGGCCATCCTGACAAAATGTCTGCTTAATTTCCAAGTTCTCCATGGTATCTCCTTTAGAGACTTCACCAAGAGATGTTCTTCTCTCAAAGATATTGTTGTTATTGTTAACTTGAGTCCCATTTTGCTTCAGTAGCCTGAACATCTCAGCTTCCAAATCTCTAATCTAGGAAGGAAGGAAGGAAGGAAGGAAGGATGGAAGGAAGGAAGGAAGAAAAAAGCTCATTCAAAGAACTCAACCAGCATTCCTCCACATGTATCAGGCAAAACTATCTCATTATTTAGTGGCTTTGAGAAGGCAACTCACCCGTACTTGTAGGCCCTGAACTTCCACAAGGTGTGCTTTTTCCAAATCTTCTATTTTCTTTCTTTCTACTTCCTGTCTTTTGATGAAATCAAGCTCTCTTAAGAAAAAAATAAGATTTGATTATAGTGAACACTCAGTAAGTGAGGAAACATAAAAGCTCTAATCTGAGCAATAAACTGCATAGTGGGATAAAAAACTAGACAGGTAATTAAGTAAGCAAACCTCAACCACAGTTTAGAATACTGAAAGAAAATAAAACATCTTAAATGGATCATAAAATAGATTAAAAACATTTCTGTTCTGCTTCTGATTTTCACTTGTAGATTCTGACTCTAGAGCATCCATACCCATTACATAGGAGCTGCTTAGTACAGTCTTGGGTAGTTCAGTAGAGATCATTACATGTCAGGTAGAAATGATTCCTATTTCCAATGCCATATATGTAAATAAACTGATGGAACTAGATGGTAAGTGCTGAACAGGATAATTGCAATCTGATTTCTTTGTGTGGCTAGTGGATAACAGTGGAGAAAGTCAGGTGCTCGGAGAGAAGTGTCACTCACTCACCTATCCATAACACAGTGAGAAGGAGACATCCTCTACTTTGACAGCCAAGCACACAACATGCAAATTTGGCAAAATTTATTTTAAATTTATTACATGAAAGAGAGGCATGATTTTTTTTTGCAAAAAGTTAAAATGATGTAGTGTTATACCAAATTCACAGTGACAAGGGAATTATTCTTTTTAACAATAAAATTCTTATATTAAAATATTAATTATTAAAAATATTATTTTAGGACCCGAGTTCGATCCCCGGTACCAAAAAAAAAAAATTATTTCCATGATAGGAAATGGGGATATGGTGAATCTCACATATCCTTAGTTTCTAAGGCTTAGCACAGAAGACCAGAAAAGGCAGCGGCACTATATTTTTGTTCTAGCTAGCCAGAAATAGTTGATGAAAATAATCTAGTAAAACTCTCCCTGGTCATTTCCCCCGACATTATGCTAAAATCCAAGAGATGGAAGCAAAGCAAAACAGCTACAGCTCTAAAAGAGTTGTTGAAGTCCAAAAGCACAGTAAAGGAGTTAGCTGGGGCCTTGTGATTCTCTCAACAGCTGGGTAATGCAGAGGGACAGGGCAGGAAGGAAGGTCTTGCTCATCAATATTTACACTGTTTGTAGCTGAGAAAGTTTGCAGTTACTGGCTCTAAGATTACAGATAGAAGCAGCCTGATTCAGGCCCCAACTGCTGCTCTACATTCACCACATCTAACAGTCAGTCATTTTCATGGCTCAGGCTTTTTGCTTCTAATCACAGGGGTGTTTCCCAAAGAATTAAGGAATTCAAATGTTTTAACGATTACTATTAATGATTAACAATCAAGAAATCAGGAGGCAAATAATTGTGGAAACATAATAAAGTATACAAAATACAGCCAGGTGTGGTGGCACACACCTGTAATCCCAGCACTCTGGGAGGCTAAGGCAGGAGGATAAGAAATTTGAACACAGCCCAGACAACTTAGCAAGATTCTGACTCAAAATAAGAAATAAAAAAGGGCTGAGGCTATAGCTCAGTGGGTTCACTCTCCAGTGCTAGGGGGAAAAAAAGGAAAAGAAAAGGTAAAGGCAAATTCTAAAACACAGTAACTATTTAGGCCGTAACTATGCTTCTGAAAGGAAAAATCCTGAGATAATCTTTTCTTTTCACTAGATATTACAAAATTTTTATTATTTATCCGGAGAAGTTGGCACATGTACCCAATACATTTAATTCTCTTTTTTTTTCAGTCCCCTCCATTCCCTCCCTGCTCCTTCCAACTCTCGGTCCCCTCTCCTTTTGTCAAAACTCGATTTTCATCCTAATTTTTTCCCATCGTCTTTGTCTCCCCTCCTTCCCCTTCCCTCCGTCTCTGGTTGCCCCATCTGCTCCACCCATTTGAAAAAGATTTCTCTACTTCTTATTTACCTATCTTCTATTTTGCTCCCATCATCTCTCTCTTCCTATGTATATGTAATTTATATATATACATATGTGTAATTTATATATATAGTTTCATGTAAGAGAAACCATGAGATATTTAAGCTTGTGTGCCTGACACTTTCTCAAGTTGCATCTATTTGTCTATGAATTCCTCAAGTTTATCTTTCTTTACAGCAGAGTAGCTCTTCATTGTTTATACATACCACATTTTCTTTATCCATTCATCTGCTGATGGGCATTAGGCCATTTCCAAGAACTAGCTATTATAAATTGTGTTGATTTAAACATAGAAATGAATGTACCCTTGTGGTATTACAAAGTTGTTGGACAAACATCATCTCAAACACACGAAGGCGGGGATTTAGTTCAGTGGTTCTGCTGCCTGCCTCACAACCGCAAGGTCCCGAGTTTGATCCCCAGTGCCAAAAAAGAAACAAAAAAACCCCACAAGGAACTGTTCTTCAGAAGCAGCTTACTTTTGTTGAAAGTCCTTGATCAATTTCTTTGCCTTGTTGTACTTCTTTTCCAAGGCCTGATATTGGCTTTGTGTCTCTTTGAGATGTTCATTCACTGTGTGACATAAAGTTTGAGCCTCAATCCAGTAGCTCTCCAGTTTTAACATTCTTTCTTTGTTCTCCTCTATGTTCTGCTGGAGTTGGTGTTTTTCTAGTTCCCACCTCACTTTCTCATTTTCTGCTGCTTGCAGCTGGAGAAAGCAAGTATAAAGGCAAGAATAATTCAGGTGTCTTGGTATAAAAAAATCTCTCATATCCTAACAGCATGTTTTAGATTAAATCCCATTGTTCTATACACCCAACCATCAAAACACCTTGAGATGAGAAAATCAAGTATTAGTTTCCTAATTCCACAGATGATAAAATGCAAGCTCTGAAAATTCAAATGAGTTGCCCACTGCTATATATCTGATAAATGATAAAACATAAATTTGATTCCAGATCCCATGAACTTTGCTTCACACCAGGAAGTCTGAAATTCTGTAAGTAGGAAAAGATGTTTGATAGTCTAACTAAACCCAAGGAATGGCAATGTTTTTTGAGAGCTTTTGTAAAAGTATAAAATGATACTTAAAAAGTTAACTGTAAAGGAAGTGGGGAGAGGAGGAGAGAAAGGGGCAGAGTTAGAATAAAGCCTAATGGTTAGGGGGGCGACTCTGGAGGAATTCATCTTAGATTCCAATCCTACACCTGCCACTCTGGGCCCTTAAGCCCTTAGCAAGTGATTCAGTTTCTCCAAGAGTCTGTAATGTCATACAGCAGAACTATGATATAATTTAGCAGCATGCTTGGAATGGCTCATCCGGCCTAACAATCATCTAATAACTATTGGCTCTTATTTGCTCTGAATCATTTTGATGGCTTTATTAGATCCTTTATTCAGTTGACATGAACATATTCTATAGCTTGTATTACAGGCAGTGTTATAAATTTCTAGATCTTTATAAACCTCAATTCTCACAAAAGTACAGAAAACAGAATAGTAATATAAATAGTTATCTGATTAATTTAAATAACTTGTGATTTCTGCTTCTGGGTAACCTTCTAAATAGGTAGTGTACTAGTTTAACACCTTCATTTTAACAGAAATTTAACAGTGATCATTTAGTGAGAGTTTAAAAGTCATTTATTCATAATAATTGCCAGGCCTTCAAACTAGAGCTTTATCTACTTCCTATGTCTTCTTAAAGTTCAAAAATAGGCAGAGCTATCGAAAATTATCAATGTTAAAAAATCAAGACAGTCCAAAATTAGACAGCATTCAGTAAAGATATATTTGAAATGTATGAATATATAAAATATGACTATATACTATATATGCAGGCATATGTTTAATGTAAATTTTGAACTAAGTACATTTGTAAAACAGATTACAAATAAAAACTACCTGCAAAACACTTTGAAAATAGGAATTCTATTATCATCATTAATAATAATCATGGTAAAGTAAATTAATCTGTAGATACCATGCCAAGGCAATAAAAATATAAAATACTAATTTGCAGAATTTTTAAACTAAATGTTTACAAAGTTTAACACATAAGTTCTATTATAGTATTTACAATCAGAGGGGAATCTTTTCCCCAACTATAACTAATTTACTTTATCTTTCTATGTCAAGAAAAAATTACAATTTAAAACAGGACTAGGCTTTTTACTACACCTTTTATTAAGCAATATTTTGTATCAAGTTGTTTATTTACCAACCCTTACTAATTTAAAAATTACTATTTGCAGTGCTGGACTACACCAGGAATGATGTATAGACATGTTTTAACTAAAGAGCTCCAAAGCATATGAACTGGGACTACTATGTAACCAAAATAGCCTTGCTAATTCATCTCCATATAAACCACATGGAAAACCTAAAACAAGAATTCAGTGTGAAACCAAACACATCATTAGTGGTGGGGAAGTAACTATATCCTAATTTTTAAAAAGATCATAGGAACAATAAAGAATTGTTTTAAATTGAAATTACATATTTGATAAAACTAAAAATTTACTAATTAAAAATCACCTTTTGAATCTTGTATTATTTGACATATGCAGATTAAAAGTACATATTTCCTTTCATCAAGTTTTTTTGTTCTCCCCACAAATTTAAATAATGTCCTCTAGTCTAAAACTTCCCAGGAGTACTTGGCCCCTAACATTAATTATGCATGCATTATATTGTTTATAATAGTTAATTCATAGAAATTAGAAATTGTTTTTGAAAAAAAAATGAATATAGTACATTAAAAATACATTTTTTCTGGTGAATAAGCTAAAAATGATTAAATCTAGCTACAACAAGGTAAATGAAGATATGGCACACCAGCTCAAATTGAAGGAACTCACGATGAAAATGTTCTTTAGATGCTTGGGCCATTAAAAACGTTGCTTTCTGAGGAAATCTCAGAGGGCCCCGGCCGCACACGTGCAAATATGTGCACACATTTTAAGTCTCAATTGCCATGTTATTTTCACCAAGGAGTACTGCGTGAGAGGGCTTGCTGTCACCGGCAGGTTTGCCAGAGCAACTAACAGTGAAATCAATCTCTTACATTTGTATTCTTTCAAATGCTCAGGATAAAATCCTTTAGCCCTGTGGTTGAATTTATTCATAGTATTCGAAATTAAAGAGTACAATTCAAACACCATGTACCAGTGCTTACCTTGGTCTTCAATTTTTGAATCTCTGCTTCTGTAACTGCATGTTTGATTTGTAACTGCAAATTGAAAAAAAAATCTGAACTGAGTGTGTACCTCTAATCTTTAAAGTTTCAGCAGCTAGGAGAATACTTTGGAACATAGTAAAAAGCCTAGAAAAGTTCTGCAACACAACACATGGTAAATTAAAATGTCTAGTGTGTAAAATGACTGAGTGCAAACTAATTAAACAGTTTATGGCTCACACTTCCTAACGTCATATTAGTTTAATCGCTGAGGGACCACAAAGAAGAAAAGATATTTCTTGTTTTCTCTGCAATTCTTCCTTTACGTTTTGAGTATCAAGGAACTCTTTCCTAGCTGAATCTGGCCAATGTGAAGGCGTAAGCCTGCAAGTTGGTACAGGAGGGGCTATATGAACATTCAATTCCATATGAGGAAGAAAGGTGGCGCTACAGTTCTATGAGTTACTCGCAAACTGCTGCACAGGATGGAAAGATGCAGTTCCACAGTGAAATCTTTTTTTTTTTTCTTCTTTTTAATTGCAAGAGAGGTACAGATCCAGATTTCTGTCCTCTAAAAGATCCATTCATAGTGAAGACTCAGGCCTGACAAAGCTCCTGCTATAATTACCAGAAGAGCCACTATTTATACTTGCATTGCTACTCCCCTCCCCCTACTTTGTTTTCTTTGTAAGGGAAGACTCATCAGTGAACACTCATTTACTTAAAGGATAAATAAACACCTCCAAATTTAAGGAAAACAATTTATGAGTGTAGAATTTTTTTCTCTGAAATCCCTGGGGCTGGATGTTTTTGGAATTCAGATTTCTTCCAATTTCAGACAGGTACTAAGATGAGTCTTCCCTCAATTTTGTATGCCCCATAGCAGGGCCTGTGGAGATCTGCGACCAAACACAGGAATGCTTTTGCCACCAAGCACGTGAAAATTCCCACTAAGTGGGGTACAGACAGACATAAATAGCATGCTAAGTTTTAGGTTATACCAAATTAGTTTGCCACGAAATTACAAAAAAAGCCTGTTTTCAGAGCATTTTGGATTTAGTACCATATAAGAGGGACTGTAAACTTAAACCATTACTATAATCAAACAGCTCTAAGAAGATCTCTTGTGAGAAGAGCCTGTGTCTCCAGACAGAAGGACTGCAACAGGGAGTTCTTGGAGTAGCGATGGAAACAGTGAAACCACTGCACCTCATGAATTCAGCTTTCTCTGGGCTTTGCAACCTGCATTTCCTTGTTTCTTACTGGGCTGATGGCAGTACACAGGAAAGATGATAAGGAGAGAAAGAAGAATCAAGGATAGGTCAGTTCAACACCCTTAGCTGCCTGTGACTAACGGCCCAGAATCCCAGGTTCCCAAACTCCTAGAAAAGCGATCCCTCCTTGGTGTATTCAGTCCCAGCTGTGCAGGAGGCCAGGAAGCTTGCAGTGCCCGGGCTCTGCCACTGTGGCCAAAACTGAACCAGTGTGAGATGGGACTGTGCTCACATGCATGGCTTCACTCAGGCCATCTCGGCCATCTCCGAGAGGTGTCTCTTGCTCCTTCACCCCTACCCTTCCTAAGGGCTCCTGTGTGTTCTGAGAGTGTTCTGAGAGAAGGACTCGCTATGCCCATGTTATTGTTCTCTTACGAGGCCTGGAGTCCTGGCTCTCTTCCTTTCTTACACAGACCTAGCAGGACAGTACTCTCACTTGCTTTTAGCATGAGTGTGCCTGGCAAGGAACCTACCACAAGCTTCTCAGTGACTAGACTGGAAGAGGACACAAAAGACACAGCAGTACTGCTCCAAGATCCCAGCAACTCCCTCTCACCTCCCTATGAGGTCTGACAATGCCAGGCCATGTAGCTGCACAGGCTCGAATGCACTGTGGGCCCCCACTGAGTATACCACTGCAGAATCTGACCCTTCTTGACCCACTCCAGGCTCGGCTCAGAGAAGATGATCAGCCAGTGCCTCCTCATAGTGAATCACCACTGAAATCAGGACTACAACCTGGATCTTTGGGTCCTAATCTCAGTGCCATTTGATTTAGAAAAAAAATAACTCAAGAGGCATTTATTTTGGAGCTGCTAGGTGCAAGATGCTGTAAATGTTTTCTCTTTTTAATATCAGGACTAACTTCTCCCACCAATATAAACAAATAAAATAAAAAAGGGTAAAGTATTTAGATATTATGTATATGTAAATCTATCTATGTGTACACATATACACACAGCTACAAGGAATTATTTTCCATGGTGAACATGCTAAGGCATATCAATGTTTGTTAGGTGGTTCTGGAGTGTAACTGCTATTGACAAGAACATCTATTCTTTGTTCTTTCTACCATGTACCAGGTATGAAGAGCTACGTTAGACTACTTGAATGCATCCCAGGTTTACCATGCACTAGCTATGGGATGTAGGAAAATTAACCTCTGTACCTTTGCTTTCTTCGTCGGTGACATGCAATTCCTCAAAGGTTATAGCCTTCCTTATTGGAAAGCTAAATAGGATAATGCATGTACACATTTAAAACAGTAGCTAACATAAAATAAATCCTCAGTAAATACAGCTAAGGCTGCAAAGAATGATCGAAAGAACTCAAATGTGCTTACTCATATTCCATTTCTCAGTTTAAACTGCTAAGTGCTATAAAATGTCACACCTGAAATAAAATGAACACCTCTAGTTCTATCTGAAGAGTAGCAACAAAGTAAAAGGGCATTATCTCACAGTGAGCATTAGACTTATGAGCAAGTACCAGATTTCATTTTCTTGGTGATTAACTCCCAGTAGAATAACCAAGCATACAGCCTACGATGTGTTGGATCTTTGGACTTTCTTTACTCAGATCACTGTGTCCTGTGCAAGTTGCTTCTCTGGGTCTGTTTCCCATATGAGAAATGAGAGGGCTGCACGGAAGAAGTCCAAGGCTTTTCATGTACTATGGGTATAACATTTATGAAACAAAGAGCCTGAAGTAGTTGTCATGATCGGAAAGCTGGAAACTTTCATTCCAAAGCCAGCATTTTCATTCTTATGAATATATGTATAAGGAGTGTAAACTGACATGTGAAGTAAACCTACAGAAAGGTGTGAAGATGCCCATGTTGTTTTCCAGTTATCCCACCCTCCCATTTCACCAAAATGGGTAACAGAAGGGAGCTGAACTCATCAGCAGTGAGGTGAGAACAACTGATCAAAGCTGTAAGTGTTGCCAAGTACAACTGAATTCTTTAGATACAAAGAGAAAAGAAGGAACCATGTAAATTACGATACTGTGCAGAAGATGAACAGAAGCTCTGGGCAAGGTTTTCTTAGTATTCATAAGGCCTAATATTATAGACACTGTCCGCGATTATTTTCTGTGCGCACATTAAGAGGATTTCTACAAATCCATCAGAAATAAGAGGAAAAGCATAAAAAACTAACTGAACTCTTTCATTTTATATAGGAACAAGGAACTTGTGTCCCAGTAAGATAAAATTGCAGGGCTAATAATGGTCATAGTCTGGATTTAGAAATCTCAGTCCATGGTTCTTTCCATGAATACTAAATCTCTTCCATATGTAGGACCCTCCATCTTTTCCTTCATGTCAGGACCTGTTCAGATGTAGAAAAAGACTCAGAAGTCACACCGTTTCTTCAAGTCTCCACTAGAAGTCGGTTTGTGGATGGAAGCAGGCTCCAGTCTGACTCCCACTGGCTGCTCTCATGGTCTCACTGAACTGGATGCTTTGTATTCTATTTCTCATTTAATCCATACAAAACCCATGTAGCATTATTTCACTGTTTCCACCCTCAGATGAAACATTTTATTATGCTGACTTAAGGATCTCTTCAGAAAGTCTCTCAGTACCCTGATATTGAGTGTAAAATGGTGCCCAGTCAGCTGCCGTTACTATTAAAACTTAGAACAGCTTCCTCAGTGTTCAGCCAGCACTAAATGAATGAGACTATATGCCAGGTATTGTGCCAGTCACTGAGAACAAAAACAGCATAGGGAGATTAGTATGTACAACTCCCAGAGAGCTTCTGCAGCTGGTGTGAAAGGGTGGAGGGAGCCTGTTTCTTGGTGGCCTGAGCAGTCATCTTCTCCTATAATGAGGTCAGAGGACTTTTGGCTTTAGTCTCTTTGTGCTATCTCAGATCCAACTGTGGACTCTACCTTCTCGGCAAAGTAGGTGAGATGGACCTGGCATATCTCCACTTCATGAGGAAGAGAAAGCTGCTTTCCAAAGAGAAGAAAGAACTTGATGAAGACGAGTTGGTTAAAGATTGAGTTATCTTACTCTGAAGCATGTGTATGAGATTTATGTCAGGGATCACTACGCCTTTCAAAGTACTGAGCCAAGGTTGTGAGGTCAGGCTGATCAGGGAGAGGAGAAGAGAAATAGAGCTGGAGAAGCCTGTTTGATCTATGTTTGGAGAAAAGAACATACATAAAAACACAAGACTGCAGCCCAGTGGCTTTTACTTTACAGGCCCAATCTCTTTAATTTCTGCTGTCACCTTTAACATGAATGCCATATATATCTTATCTGCCCTAAGATTGCAGCTCAAATAAACATACGATTCCTGAAAGAGCAAGAGCTCTTATTTAACATTCTGTAGGTGTAAATGTTATGCATATTTTCTGATTATTTCTTTCAAAAGGATAAATACGGAACGTGTGTGTATATGACTGAATCAGTACAACCCAAGTATAACCACTGGAAATAAAAACATCCTTATATAGAAACATAAATAATCAGAGTGAACTTTTGGACTCTCTGTACTTATCCTGTGCAAGCATGGAAAACATTTTTAAATGAAAAATACTATCTTTGTAAGAAAGATTTAAGAGAATTCTACTACCAGAAATTTTATGATTGGATAAGAGCAACATTTTCTGCTCTTACCTTACAGGGGCAAAAATAAATATCTGTATAGAACTTTATTAAGAAAGTTTCAGCAATGAAACCAAAATTTTTGTAATTAGTATTGGATTGATGTCTGTCTTATCCACAGTATTGTGAAATACACAAAAGAAGAAACTGAAGCTGTTTTTACC